TATACCGTACACAATTAAGGCACTGTATTTTAATGTCTAGGTTTTCCGGTTTTTGGGCATTTCTCTACTTTGTCGGATTCTGTTACTTAACCAATGCTTGGAACAAGTCGCAAACGCCAAAAGATAATTACGGAGTGAACAACGTTCAAAGCGCTATTGCTTTCTCCTTCTTCTCCATATTTACCTGGGTACATCAGTTATATACCTTTGTTTAACTTAATTTCTAGATAAATATATATCGCAATCATTTATGAAATTTTAACTAGCCCATTTAAACGTGTAGGTATCGTCAATTTTCTTTTTCACTTTTGCAAAGATTTGTTTATATGAAGCAGAAGAGTAATGATAAAATTTTAATTTTTAATTCAATATATTTTTCCTTAAAAGGCTGGATGTGCCTGGTTCGCCTTCCAAAGATTCAAGCAAGGTACCGACGCTGCATTCGCACCGAGTTACGAAGCAGATCCTGTTGGTGGAACAGGATATACAAGTTATCCTGATGCGACTGATACTGGTTATCAAGAACCACCGTTTGGTCAACAACAACAACAACAGCAACAACGGATGCCCGATTTCCGAGCTCCGGCTTACTAACCTTCTCAAACATAATCTATCACTCTTGGTAAAATAAAATTTCTATTAATCTCCATTTACGAAAATATCACAATACATTCGATTGTAAATATTAATTCATAATACATCATTATTACGAAAGAGTATCATAATGTTTAATAATATCTACTTTCATATTGATTGATTTCTATTTTATTAATTTTTGTAAATTAACACTAAACGTGCCAAGCGGGGTCAAATGACTCCTTTTCAAAATTCACTTTAAAATCGTACATTCGTTGTTATTTCTCTCGCTAATCTGACTTTTTGTAAATTCTTATATATTATCTGATTATTCAATTTCTCCTTTTCTGTTTTTCTCTTTAGCTTATTTTTTTTTGTCATTTGACCCCTTATGGTCAAGATAGGTATATGTAAAATGCCGGTACGTTTAGTGTTAAAAGATGTTTTTTCATTTTTAAAAGCTTAGTATTAATCGCCTTTTCTGAATTTACCTAATTCTGTATTACCTTTTTAGACACAACGCAAGAAAATAATAGATAAAAGAAGACAAAAAGCTCTGCAAGGAAATTTCCAATGATTGAGCAATGTCGATAGAGTAAGTTTTCATAGTAACATAACTAGTGGATGCAAGAGTAAATGAAGGGAAATAAGGAAACGGGAAAATATATAAAGAGAAAATAATGAGAATAAGAAAGAGAATGTGCGCGTATGCGAATACGTATGTGTGTATATGTGTGTGACTGAAAAAGAAGTAGAAAGAATGCGTGATTATGTACGTGCAAGACAACAAAACGTTACTTGTTAAAACTGTGCTTCTTATTGTTGACCACTTATAAGTCTTACACCTAAAAATCAGTGGCGTAAGCGATAAAGAAAAAAAATATAAAAAAAAATGACACATTTAAGAAATAACACATTGAAATCGAAAAAGGAAGTGTGCAAAGAAACAGGAGAGAAAGAGAGAGAGAGAGAGAAAGAGAGAGAGAGAGAGAGAGAGAGAAAGTGGAAAAAAGGAAAGAGAGAGAAAGGGAGAAAGCGAAAGATGGACATTTATTATCCATAGAATTATATATAAATATAAATGCATATATATATATTTAAGATGTACCGAAAATTGAACGATACAAAGGGAAGATATGAAATTATTCACCGCTAAAATTATTATTCCGTAAACACGAAACAAATATAGAGTGGGAAAGTAAACTTTTCTACGAAAAAATTTTCAGTTTTCTTCAAGTAAGTTGCAATGAAAATTTTAATATGTACACGCAGCTTTATCATCTATTTCTCGGACTCGAGAACGTGCTTGAAAGCATCAATCGTTTAATGTGTATTTATATTGTTTAATTATCAACTGCACGATAGGAGAGAAAAATTATTCTTCTTCACAAGCCTTTTCGATCTCGAGGCGGGATATTTTATATTTTTCGTTTGTATTGTTATTTTCAGAACACCGTGTGTATCTACACGTATATATGTATACATATTACATATATATGTAATTGTAAACGGATAAAGAATAGCTCTCTAATAATTCTTAAGTAGTGTTACATGCACATATATTTTACTGTGTTAATATAAAGTGTTCATAGAAAATCGCGAATACGACTGTACTACTGTTAACGACAAGACCTATATCGAACACAAAAAAGAAAAAAAAATATTACGATTTTCTGTTGAAAAATCGAATTATCATTTCGATTCTATCATTGCCGTATTATATTATATTATCTTATATTATAGGAGGATCCTCCATTTGCAATACGTCGTGCATTAACGAATTGCAAGTATGCTATTTATAAAAGAATACCAGACTTAGGGATACGTCACTATGACATGTCTTGCACTTTTTGAGTTTATATAATTCCGTTTTAGTTTCTTCCGAAAAAAAAAAAAAAAAAAAACAAAAAAAAAAGAGAAATAAAAGAGATGTCGAAGTTATTTCGTTAAGTTTCGTTGATATTATGTTTCTTATATTGTGATATTACGTTATTATTACAAGTGATATAATTATTTATATGTATTAGAGAAATTGGGAAAGCAATGTTTCAAGCAATTTAAAAAATATATTCAATTGGTACACATTGAATATTATACGAGGGCATAATGAGAAAGATTGTATCTCTTGCTACAGTACCAATTCATTTTTTAAATAATTTATTTTTTTAATATTATTTTGTATAGACAGTATTTTGTATAAAAAAAATAATTAAATAATCGTATTTTTTGGAAATTAAATTGTCCTTTACCCAGTTTCTCACTGTTATTAACATGAATGTCTGAAATAATTTAAAAACAAGGATAGATACATGTAAAGTATTTGCATAATTTAAACAAAGATTACAAACACGAGATTTTTTTTATGATAACAACTTTGTATTGCCTTAGTATTAAATTAAAATATTATTTAATTATGTAAATAGTTCCATATGAAATACGTTCTTGATAATGATTTTTACATTCCCTTTTTAGCATTTTTAAATGCTCTTTTCTAAGTACGTTTATTAATGTTTTTTAGCAATATTGGGGTGATGTTGAAAAAAATGTCTACAAATCTCGCGACTAATTGCATGACTGTTCTTTTTCTCGTGCCGATTATACTGCCTCATTTTAAAAGCAAACAGCGGATTGCACGGCAGTGTCGTAAAAAGTAATAAGAAATAAAATTGTTTTTTCAATAAGTTGCATTATTTTTTTAAAGTGATATCAGTATTGTATTTAATGACTATTTGAACTGATGATACCATAACTTTTATGTTCATCATCGTGGCAATACTACAAGAATAGTAATATTATAATTGAAAATAAATAAGGAAAAGAATGTAATTAACTATAATCATCTAAAAAAAGATAATCAATCTTCATGTTTATTATTTAAAAGAAAATTTGATTGTATGAGTGAAATTAATTAATATAACTTATATTTACTTATTGGAGATTGGATTATTGAAATGATGAATGTAATATTGTCACTATTTTGGATAGCTTTTTTTAAAGAGAAAATGTTCTTGGGCCAATATTAACTCAAATATATACTCAAATTTTCACGACATTTAATTTCCATCTGAACTTTAGCTTTGTAACAAATATTTACTACTTCACAATGTAAACATTATCCTTGCCTGGGAGGAAAGAGATATTTACCAAGGTATCAGTAATTAAATAGTTGTCGTATCATTGTGATTATACTAGGTGTCTCATTATAAGAAATAAGTGGATATAAAATGTTTTAATTCCTATTATTTGATATTAGAAGTTTTCAAATATCATTTCATTTTTATACTAATTTTATAACATATGCATAGATTTTGGATTCTGTTATACTTTTTAAATTTTTGCATGATTTCTTAATCTTTAATAATAATTTCCAAAGGCATCAATAATACCTGAGACACCTTGTATATAACGTAGTTGTATTTACATTTGAAGCAGTAAGAATCTGAGTGTTTAGGAACGAAGTATAATCATGTAATTAATTATAGATGAGATACATGTAAGTAATTATTTTTATGCGATTGAATGATAGCCAAAATTAATAGCTTCGATTCATTCACTCTCCCTAATATGGTAATATTAACGTGTTTGTGAGCCAATTGAAGCTGCGTTTCGCCTAGAGGAATTCTACGAATGAAGAAGAAACATTGTTTTATTTTTAGCGTTTAATTTTTGACTGATTTCCTTGTAGTAGAGTTTACAGATACTATGAAAGTCAACGAGAAGAATAAAAATTGTTTAAATATCGTGGAAAATTTTTTGTAAAAATCTGACAGACACTCCAATGGTTTGATATTGAACAATTAAATGATAGATACATTTACAAAGGTCAAAAAAAAAAAAAAAAAAAAAAAGAACCGACGGAAATTCCATTACAACACATTAAAATGTACATAAATAGTCTTCTACTACCAGTAACTTCTCGTTGCTTTTTATACAATTTAATCTATAGCTTAAATATCTATACTTTGACATCAACGATATGGAAACAATATGTCCACCATTTGCTAGCGTTCCTCAAAATAAAAAAGAATTCCTTTTCGCTCGTGTTGTATTTTTTACACTTGTTGTTGAAAGTATCATTAGAATTTGTATTATTGAATCGCAGCCTTTTGTTGTTCAATAAATTTTGAGTGCCTAATTTATGACTCCCACATATCTTTGGATGTACATTTTATTAAAATAATTTTTAGTTTCATTGCCATTCGATTCAATTACTGTGCGTTTTATCTTTATCATATATTTAATAATTTTAATTCTCGTGTAATTTTTATATTTTATTATATCTGAGAATTTCTCACTTTCCTGTTATTGATAAAAAAAAAAAAAAAAGAAGAAGAACGTCTTAAGTAACTCCAAGAACCATGGATTTGTAAATATTTCCAATCCGATTTCTTCGTCGTTGAAAACGAAAGGTAATCTTCCGATTGCAGCATCATCTCATAAAAACTATTCTGCGCAGCTGTTACTGCAGTCTTCATATAATTTATAAGTATAAAGGTACAGTTACCGTTTCGTGTTCTTTGTCATTCAGAATCCATTTTCCTAAATTTTCACATTGTCGTGAAAGTCGATGATATATCAGTTTTAACTATTCATCAAGTAATCTTATGAATCTTTTATCTTCGATTCCTCTTCCTTCTAAATCTTTCGCAAGTTAAAACCATTCGTTATTTATTGATTTATCAAAGGGAAAACAACGTCATAATTTGGAGAAATATGAAACCTATTGAATTGGTTGAATCTGGGGCTTCGTTCGGTCGATAGATCGATCGTTCGTCTAACGAATTACGCTGATTACAGCGGCTCATCTGGTATCAGCAACACCCGCCACGATAAGCTCGGTTGTGAAGCCGCCCACATTTCGAATCGTCCTTCTGCTCACTTTCCGCTGTTCTCTCGTAAATTAGTATTTCGCCGCTCCTCGGATTGAATACTTTATCTTTTTTTCTTAATCGTTTCGAAGTAAGTTTCATCGAAGTCTTCTTTAAACGTAGTATCAGGCAAATCATTTGTGACTTATCCTCTCTTCTCTGTGGTGAATGATGCGTTCTGAAAGTGAAAAGTGAAATTCAGTGATTTATGGAACGTAAAAAAAAAAAAAA